GGAAAAAATCAATTTCTCTTAATTTGCTAAAATATAGAGAGAGTGAAATTTCTTTTGTATTAATATCCCCTCTCTCTGAATAACATAATCCTTGTAAATGCCTTATTAGCTGTTACTTTGAATACAGTCAAATGCTTCAGCTGATCAGACTACGATTCCTCCCTACGTTATACATACCTACGTGCTCGCATTTAGGGGATCGGCCAGGTATCCCTGACTGCAACTTTGGATTTGTTTGGACAGACCAAACCATTCGTTTGCACGGGCAGAGGTCTGGAGGCTGCTGTTGCTGTGAATTAAATTTACTAAAAGAGTGAGTTCTTTTTTTTTTTTTTTTTTCCTCTCTCACAGAATTGTGCATCGGATTGGGCGTGAAGGGGAGGGAGGGGGAATCTGGCGCTGCAGAGATACATCGCCTCTCCGCCTATAATTGTTTGACACATGCCCTGTTGTCACAAAGTGGGGTTGTTTCCCAGACCCTGCTGGAAAAAGGTGCAAAGTAATAATGAGTGTTTAACAAGGCTCATAAATCAGGGCTGATGAGAAGCGCTCGGGACGGACGCTCGGAGAAGACAGGGCCTGGCAGCGGGTGACCAGCGAGAGGAAACGAGCACGGCGGTAGTGCAGAGCGGGAGCAGCGCTACCGACACCCCAAAAAGTACAAGCCGTCAAATGCAGCGCGGCCCCATGCTAGATCAGACATAATGCACTTAATGAAAACTCAGTCAACTGATCCAAATAGTCGACAGTCGGCGAATAATTATAAGCTAGGCAAGATATATTAAATTAATGGATTCAGTCCTGCACAAATGTATCATTAGAATGTATAGGATTGATACTTAACATGGTACAGTTATTTTAAAATTACACATTAAAAAAAAAAAAGGCAGAAAAAAAGGCAGTGAAACTACGTGGTAGGAACAGTGAGAAAGTTAGCATCGCAAGGATAATCTATTTTTGGTAGTTTTTGTTGTTTTGTTTTGTTTTTTGTTTTTACCTTCACGTTCTTTCCATAGGAAAGACCATTGAAGCAGACTATTAACTAAAGAGACCACCTTAAAATTATTCGTTTTATCACTGATTCGAGCTAAAAATCAAGAGAGGATTTGCAGAAGAAATCGTTTGTCAGGATGTTTCAAAGCAGTCACAGAATTAAATGAAAACTTTTCTTCTCGAGCCACAAACAAGGCGCTTTAGCGATTAAGCCTCTCTTTCTTTTGGTAGATCTTATTATCAATGCCGCATAAACCCCGAGTTTTGCTAACAGATTTAGGCGCACGTGTATCTGTATGCAGATACAGTGTACAAATGCGTGCATGTCTGTGGAAATTACACGGGTGAACTGTAGCCTAATAAATATCTGAACTCCATTCTCAAAGTGTGCTCTGCTTAGTATCTTATTCTTCCCATAGTTAGGTGTCTCCTTTCAACATCTCTGTCATCTCCATTTGAAGATATTTTCAGCGGTTTATCACTGCCATCTCCAGCCCTGCACATTTGCAGCAGGTTATCACAATTGCCAGTCCCCCCTGGCTGATGTGTTGTGTTGATTACCATCAGTGCCCTCAGATATTTGGTGCGGATTCCCAGCACTGCAATATCCACTCTTAGGACATCTGGAGCAGATCAAAATCACTGACTTCATTTTTCAGTAGAGTCAGTGTTAAAGCTTCACATATCCTCTTTGCAAACATACCCTTTAGTCAATTCCTACAGAACCAGCCTTTAGTTAAAATTCGGCCAAGCAGCGACCCCTATGTCTGGATTTGCATTTCTTATCGGACACCTATCTAAACTGATTTGTTAATAATAAAAAGAAAATCTCTTGGCAGTGGATGCATTGCCTTAAGAAACTGGAAGGATCACACTGTCTTAGCAAGCTCCTTCTCCGGAAAGGCTCTTTAAGGAGAAGTTTATCTGCCCAATGATCTCTGAATTATACGAGCGTGGCCATTTAGGTCGATTTACTTTAAACAGTATACAATTTATTTTAAGCGATTACCTTAGGTATAATCACATTATACCCAGCGCTGCTATATATTTCTCTCCCGCTTGTTTTCAGATGCACATCCGCTCTCCAATGGAAAGGTGACTCTGTTTTTCACTCTGATCTCAATTTCTTCCTTGCTACGTGACCCTTCAGTGTTTTAAAAGCGCTGTTCAGCTAATGAGTTGGCACCGCGTTCCTTTTTGTTAGATTTTGCCGAAAGTTAAGGAGACATTTGAGCAACCACAGCACAGGTTTCGGAAAAAAAAATACAGGAAGAGATGTTATTTTTTTTTCCCGAATTACGTTTAAGAAAACACTGTTTTATTCAATCTCCTTAAAATTTCAAGAAAATTTATGGGTGGGAAGGGGGGACGGTGATCACACCAACCTTTTGGACTGTTTAGGGTTTAGGGAGATTTTCCTGGTGCTTCTGGCAGCTGACGATGATGTTTGTAATTTTCCGTACACTTTCGTTCTTTCCGCACTTTCCTGATTAAGCTCCTGCTATAGGTCTTGTATGGGGGAAATAAACCCAGGATCTCCCAAACCTTCACTAAACTGATTTTCAAGCTAAGTAGCTTAGTGTAGCAGCTCTGGTCCCCGCTTACTTGCACAAGGGGGAAAAAAATTAAAAAGGGCTTTGAAAGGTTGCCTGCTAACGTGACTTAATAAACTGCCAGAAAAATGGGCAATGTCCAATACAGGAGCGGGAACTGCGTGGTGAGGGATTCGCATTTACTGATCAGAATTGTGCATAATTAATGGCGCTTATCCTCGCGACGGGAACTTTTCAGTTGAGAAACAAAGCTCTCTCTCCCAGCCCTGAAACTTTCCCCCTCCACGGTGCATTTCCTTTTTTTTTTTTTTTTTTTTTTTTTCTTTCTTAATTTTTCTCTTCCCATTTTGTCCTGTTTCCAAATCACCGTTCCAGGTAACTCGCACTTTTTTTTTTTTTCTTGCTGTTTATTTGCTTTATTTCCACGCAAGGCGTAGAATAGCAAAGTTCGCCCGGAAAAAAAAAAAAAAAAAATGCTGCGCTGATAAAAAAGCAAGAGTGACAATTTTTTTTAATTTATTTATTTTTTTCTTGAACCGATCTGAGCGGGATGGGGGCGGGTGGGGGAGGGGGTGACTCACATTTCTTAAGCCTCCGAGTGGAAACCTTTTTTCTGGATATATATTCCGACCAGATCTAAAGCGCTAAGAAGATTTCGGCAGCGTCGGTGCCTTATCCCACCTTTATTTACCTGCAGCCCTTGTAACGTGACACTTCCTTTCGCAAAACACCGCGGCAGTTTCCAAACCCCACTCAAGCTTTGTCACGGCCATGCATTTTTGACTGAGGGTCGCTTTCCTGCTCGCAGGGTGAGATTTTGGAGCCGGGGGAGCGCGGGGAGGGGGGCGTACGGGGCGTAAAAGGGCGTCCTCTCCCTTTTAGCCATGAGGAGGGGAGAGATCACTGCTTCCAAGTGATGGGGGAAGGAAGTTAACCCAACTCGCAGGGATGGAGAGGATTCCCGCAGCGCGGGGCGGGCAGGGTTGGCCGGGCTTACAGCTGCCCCACGGAGGCTTTGGGGGGCGGCAGGGGCTCCCCGCGGGCCCCCCGCCTTGGGGTCGACCCCCATGCTCGGAGCGGGTGCGAAGCCCACGGAGGGGCGCAGACCCTCGGAGTTGGCTCCTGCCCCGGGCTTGGGGAAAAAAGGACAGAGACATCCGCGCCCCCCTTCTCCGCTTTCTTCCTCCCCTCCCCTTCGCTCGCCCCCAGACAAACACTCTCATCCCAAAAAGCAGCGCCCCTGCGCCGTGCCGGCCCCTTGAGTCAGGGAAAGGAGAGTTGGAGGAGCCGCCAGCCCGGCCGGATCGGGGAGCGCCCGGCCACGTCGAGGGAGCTGGGGACATCCCGGGCAGGTCACAGTGACAAGTCATTTCCTCCGAGGCGGCCGAGTCCCGCGGTCCCTCGCAGAGGGGTCCTTTGTCTACTGCTGCACCTCCACCCGCCTCTCAGGGGAAACGGGGGAAAGAAAAAAAAAAAACAGCCCTCTTAATGACGATGGTGGCAACAGACTGTTTGGGTCCTTGTACCCCCACACACACCTAAACATTTCCCTTAGTCCCCGCTGAAAGGGGCGGTTTGGAAGTTGTGACAGTCTACAAAAGCCCGCCAGGACCCCCCGGCTCAGGGGCGAGGGCTTCGGGGCTTCCGTGCCCCCCGGCATCCACGTCGTCCCTGTCGATTTGCGGGATTATTTATCGCCGACATCCCGAGGACTGGCGCGATGCCTCTGAGACTTGCCCCCGAGCGTCAGTCGGTCGGCGGGGCATAAGGAGGAGAGGGGGGAAGGAGGGGCGGGGGGAAATTTCTGCAGGTCTTTTTTTTTCCTTTTCTTTTTAAATAAAGATTTCTGTGATGAACGACTAGGAGCCTTTTGAGTTTTCAGCAAAGTTGTGTGTGTGTGCGTAGTGTGGCTTTGTGGGGTTGCTAGACACAGTTAGCATTTATTTATTTATTTATCTGTTTAGGTGGTGGGGAGGTTGCTTTTTTTTTTTTTTTCCTTGTGGTAAATTGTTACAAGTCGCCTGTCTACAGAGCCCACTTTTTCTCTCACGGCCACTCTCGTTTGTTCCCGAGTCCAACGACGACAAGGGGGACTCAATGCTAAAGGTGGAAAAACCCGGCACCGTAGTTGTTTTTGTTAAAAGGGGACACACTAAGGCTGCGAAACAGCAAAACCCCAATGTTGGACAGCTGTAAAATCGTGTAGACAGGTTGTCATACAGCAGTGGGGGCTTTTCTGAAAGGAGCCCATTGCTAAACATTAAATACACACACAGCACAGCACAGCACAGCAGCTGCGCGGACACACGCACACACACACACACACGCACGCCTGGAGGAAAGTGGCCCGGGCTGAGCTGCGCACCACGTGCTGCACCGGGGGGGCCGGCGGGGGCGCGGGGCGGCGCTTGCAGCTCAAGTGGATGCCAATCAAAACATCAACTTCAAATTGTATCTGAAAGATCAGCCTAGGACCTAAGGGCAGACACATCAGTTGGAGCTCAATTGTTGATCAGATCACATCTAAGGGATTTAGGAGCACAGAAGAGCCGAGATTTGAGGAAAGACACCCCACTGAATCCTTCCACACTCCTCCTCCTCCTCCTCCACACCTAGGTTGCAATATCTCTCTGACAGAAAGAAATCAGAACGAAAAAAGAAAATTACCGGCTCGATTTCTGTTCTCTCGCCCTGCCTGACTCCAGTAAAGAGGGGTGGGGGGGGCGGGGGGGGGGGAAGGAAAAAAAAAAAAAAAGAGAGAGAGAGAGAAAGAAAGAGATCCTAAGAAGCCCGGGTTTGTTCCTCTCCCCTTCCCGGCTGTTCAAGTCTCCCTCCTCCCCTTTTCTTCCTTTTTTTTTTTTTTTTTTTTTTTTTTTGTATAATTCCCTCCCCCCCCCCTTTTTTTTTATATTATATATATATTTCTGCCGCTTCTACCGCCGCCGCCGTCAGTGCCGCCGCCGCCGCCGTGCCCGCGCCCCGGAGATGTCCTTCCCCCAGCTGGGCTACCCGCAGTATCTCAGCGCCAGCCAGGCGGTGTACGGGAGCGACCGGCCCGGGGTGCTGGCCGCCGCCGCCGCCGCGGCAGCCGCCGCTGCCGCCGCTTCGGGCCGGCCGGCGGGCGCCGAGCTGGGCAGCGGATCGGCCGCTGTCACCTCAGTGCTGGGCATGTACGCGAGTCCCTACAGCGCCCCCAACTACAGCGCCTTCCTGCCCTACACCGCCGACCTCGGCCTCTTCTCCCAAATGGTGAGTGAGCACCGCCGCGCATCCTTCCTTCCTTCCTTCTCCCACCCTCCTGTACCCATTTCCCCCGCGTCCCTTCGGGCCGCCGATAGAGGCAGAGGGAGGGTGCGGGGGGCTGAGGTCCGAGCTCCGCGGGGTGGCGGAGGCCGCGGAGAGCGCGGCAGGGGCTGGGGACGGGGCGCGGGTCGTCCCCGCTGCCGCCGCCGGGCAAAACTCCTCCGAGTTTTGCTTCTCGGAGGGGGAAAGCAAGGATCCTGCGCCCTAGAAACTCGGCTGTTTCTTGTTGTTGTTATTGTTGCGGTTGGAGACGGGCGGTACCGATGGTGCTGCTGCCTCGGTGGGCTCTCCAGCCCGCTGCTCTTCCCGTCGGGTCTTTTTCTTCCATCCCGGGTTCCCCCCGAAAGGCCGAAGGGTGGTCTAGGTAGCTGCTACGTCCGTTTATTTTCGGGCAATTTCTTTAAGCTTTAAAAACTGTCCGCTCACTTCCCTGAACTTTTCCCACTCTGATTATGGCGAGTATCGTAGACAGAATTTGCATCCAGCGAAGGAGGGCATCCACTTTCCATTATCCGTGTCGGGGCAGAAAGGCACATTGACATTACCCCTAAATTAAATTACCGTTATCGTAGTTCTCCTCGCATTTTGTTTTTCATCCCCGTTAGAATGTAATAGGTAAAAAGTGAAAAATAATTTATACTAATTGTTTTTCATCTCTGGTGTCGCTGAAACGTTTTCTTTGCTCATGTCTGCAAATTTCTCAGCGGCGGTACTAATAGGTTCTACTTTATTTCTCAATACCCCTCTGCTCTCTCCCCTGAAACATAAAAGTGTGAATATTTATAACTAGGTGCATGCAAGGCATAACTTAGAGGGGTTTTTGATACATGTACATGTATACGTGCAGGCAGGCAGGCAGATAGGCTGTTGAACAAGGGTCTTCGCCTGAAAGCGGCTCATTTTGTGCTGCAAACATTTCCTACGAACGCAGTTTTAACAGCATGCGTTCCCTACTTTTTTAACCTTGATTTTGGAACGCAGTAAAAGTTGACACAGAAGCAATGAGTGATTTACAAGTGGCTTCTTCAAAAGAATTCCCAGCAGAGATCACAGAAATAATATAATTTCAGCAACAATAACAAAAGACAACGGAATAAAGGGGGTGCAGAAAGCCTACTCTGTAACACATTATAAAAATTGCATCGGGCTTCTCCTTATGTATAAGCTTTGACTCTGAAATTAAAATACACGTTCGTTTATAAATGTTTGACAGAGTTAGATTAGTTTCTCTGGTGACATTTTTGAGAGGTTCATTTTTAAGGCTGACATAAAATTTTGCAAGATTAATGCTATGGGTATATTTCTTGACTAGAAGAAAGCGACATTGTAGTAGGGAGAGAAAAAAAAAAAAAAAAAAACGGCTTTAAATGTTAGATACTCAGCAACAGTTTCCTTTCCTACTCGCAAAGGTATCCTGGTGTTTTACTACAGTAGTTCACCGCGATGGCGATATTTTGAGATAAATTCTATGATTCTGAGCATTTGGAAATTAAGATCTAAAATATTAAGTTAATATCTGGGCTATTTGCGGTAATAATGAGGCCTAATGAGCTTGCTAGAAAGATAAAATGTTATTTAGCAAAACACCTGATGGGATAATTTGACTTGCTGTGTTTTACTACTGATGATAAAAAGAATATTGATTGCAAATAAATCACCGTCTCTAAACGCTTGTAAACAATTTGTGTTTGCTCTGCTCAGATCAAAGCAAAACTTATAAGATAAAGTATCTGCATATACATATTCTACAGTACACGGATCATCCTGCATTCCAGAGTTTAAAGGCTCTTGTAACACTTGGAAGTTAATATTTTACACCAGATTCTCAGAGTATTATTGTGTGTGTGCTGGGGGGGATGCTTGTGTGTGGAAAACCTCTCATATGAGAATTGCATTCGCGCTGAAGTTGTGTGTTCATCTCCCCAGCCACGTCTCACACCAACTCCTTTTAAAGGCAGATCTGGGGCCAAATAAGAATGCTCTGAATGCATCTGTAATATCCTCCTGGATATTTTGCAGATAAATGCAACATTGTGCGAAGGCATTAGTTGGTAACTCTGGTGTAATACCTGCTTTCTCTGCCCGATAATTTTGAGCACACAGTAAATTGTCTCATTGAGGTGAATGTGAACTTGCTGCATTCCCACTGATTAGATTTGGTTTGGGGAGAAAACACGCGTTATGTCTGGCATAACCCAGCTGAGTCCTTCTTTCCTGTCTCTGCAAGAAGGGGGGATCATTTGGGAATTCCTCTGCTTGATGTAAACGTGAAAAGCCTGGAGCGGGGAGGGCCGAATCTGACTGTGAAGGCCCTCTGCACTACTCAAAGGCGTATTCTGGCTCCCAGAGTAGCCTATTCAGGTCTGTTAGAGACACTAATGAGATAACTGATGTGCTTTTTCCTCTCCGCTTGTCTGAATGTGTTGCAGGGTTCCCAGTATGAGCTGAAAGATAATCCTGGTGTCCACCCTGCTACCTTTGCTGCCCACACTGCCCCCGGCTATTATCCGTATGGACAGTTCCAGTACGGGGACCCAGGGCGACCCAAAAATGCCACCCGGGAGAGCACCAGCACCCTCAAGGCCTGGCTCAATGAGCACCGCAAGAACCCCTACCCCACCAAGGGCGAGAAGATCATGCTGGCCATCATCACCAAGATGACCCTCACCCAGGTCTCTACTTGGTTCGCCAATGCCCGCAGGCGGCTCAAGAAGGAGAACAAGGTGACCTGGGGATCCCGGAGTAAGGACCAAGAAGATGCCAACCTCTTTGGCAGTGACAATGAGGGAGATCCCGAGAAGAATGAAGACGATGAGGAGATCGACCTGGAAAGCATAGACATAGACAAAATCGATGAAAATGACGGGGAGCAGAGCAACGAGGAAGAGGAGGAGAAGCCTGATCTCCTGAGACAAAGCAGTGAAGAGGATCACTTGGAAAAAGACAAGGATTTGGCACTGTCAGGGTCTGAAGGGCTGAAACCCAAAGATGCACTGGCCATGGTGAAGGAGGCCTCTGACAACAGCACACGAATCATCAGCCCTGGGGGACAAAGCAACTTGCAGATGCCATCTCACAGCAAACCCAAGATTTGGTCTTTGGCAGAGACGGCAACCAGCCCTGATGGTGGCCTGAAATCCTCCCCCCCTCCACCCCCTCCTCCCCAGGTTAACCACACTTCTCCACAGATCCAGCATCCTGCTTTTCTCCCCAGCCATGGACTCTATACGTGCCAGATTGGCAAATTTCACAACTGGACAAATGGGGCTTTCCTCACACAGAGTTCCCTGCTAAATGTGAGGTCCTTTTTGGGAGTAAATCACCACCACGCTACTCACCACAACCACCACCTCCAGGCCCAGCAACAGCCTTCTGTTTTAACAGCAACCCTGGGAGCCCTAAGCAGTGAAAAACCTTCAGAGAGGACCAGTCCCAAACACCTAGGTAATGTCCCAGGCAGCCATTTCCCTTCTGCCCCACCACATGCACACCAGCTTCTTGAGGGATGGTATCAGATTCAGCCCCAGTGTAACTGGCTGCTTTTGATGGTGTTACAGACCGTATAGCCTAGTACTGAATTTTACTTGCAGCATGTTGGTTGTATGCATTAAATCCATTTCATCTGGGCTATTACATTCTCACCCTACACACCCATTAGACAATTTAAGAATGACAGAATAGGGCTGCAAAAGTATGCTCTTCCCTCCTTCCTGATGGTCAATGATGGTCCAAAACATGGCAAGAAAAGCTTGTGTACTCCTTAAATATTGAAAATAAGTGAATACAACCATGCACTTGTGTTGTACGTATGCAAATGTACATGCAAACATGTACACCTACACGTGTCCTAACAAGTGGGGCAGAGGGAGATGAGTCTTTTGCACACTGTACAGATTTTTGTTGGTTTTATTCTAAATTTTTCCCTTGTTTTCTGTCTCCTTCTAGAAAGAGAAAATGTACCAAGAACTGAATCCCCACCTCAGCCGCTCAAATCGCCCTTCCAGCCTGTCCGTGACAAGTGAGTTTGTTTGTTTGTTTTCACTGAAGGAATGTTACTTATGCAAAAACAGAGTGCTTGAATAATAAAGACTAATTATAACACCTAATCAGCACCATAATACTACATACAGAAAACAAGAACAACATAGAAGTTGCTGTAATCTTTTCAAAGTTAGGCTAAATTACAATTGTACATAGCCAGACTTTAACTTTTCTGAAACTTAACAGACCTCAAAGATCTTGTGTTAATTACATTAATGACAAAGATTTCTGTGCAGTTAACTAATAGTAGGATATTATAGCAATAGTCAGGCGACTATAGGAAAGGATTCTCTCTCTTTTTTTTTTTTTTTTTTTAACTGAAAGTTTGTTACGTCTATTTTTTTTTCCTTCCTCCTTTCCCCCCTGCAGCTCTTTGGCTCAGCAAGAGGGAACACCGAGAATTTTAACAGCTCTCCCTTCTGCTTGATTAAGTGGTTTGCTGAGAAAAAAAAAAATAATAATAATAAAAATTACAGAGACTGGTATTAAGGACAGAAAAAAAAAAGGAAACGATATAAACGACTCCCATCAATCTCTTTTTTGCAATAAGGTGGTGCAAATCCATAAAAGCAATTACACAAATCTGTAGATGGATCCCCTTCTTCATTGTACCAATTCAGATCGTGTTATTCTAACCATTCTTGGGTTATTTGGTAAATGTTTCCCATGTGTTTGTGTTTTTTCTGTATATAGAGTGATTTCAGATTGTAAATAGCGCGTCAGCAAAACTTGTCTAAATCATATATTTTTGTCTAATAAACTAAATGAAATTATGAACTCTCTTCAGGTATGTATTCTCTGTTGCTGCAGATCTTAAAAATATATTACAAATCTATTCAAACATTTATAATTGCTTTCTAAAATGTCAAGAGATTTTGCCTTCACGTAAATGAAATTTACTATACCAAATTCAAGCTTTTAAGGACTCTCATGGCTATTTTATCAAAAGCAAACTGCAACCTTCCCTTTCATACACGTAAATTTAAGAATCTCAGTGAAGCTAGTTCTTGAGTAGTGAAATTAAAGTTGTTCCTTTTAAATTGTGATGAATCAGATGTGTCCTGTACTATCCATTTTTTTTCTGCATATAAATGGATCTGACTTTCACTTATGTTATAAAATACATTCTTGAAAATGAAAGGGGGAAGTATTCTCATAGTTCCCTAGTGTATAACTTTGCTGTCCAGACCAGTTACTACACTGGATCAGAAGGTTTATTGCTTTAGCACACATTCTGATGAAAGCCGAAAAATACTGGATTAGGACAGAATTTATAACGATTTACTCTTTTTACTCTATTTATTTAAAAATAGAAGAGGAAACGTAACGACGAAAGATTTTTCCGTGTGAGATTAAGCACAATTTTAGCACGGAGAAATGGCAGCTCTGGCACTTCCCAGAAGAAAGTACTCAGATTCCGATCTGATGGTTAAAAAGGGACTAAGACAATCTATCTGTTTATAAAGGCATTAATCTTCCAAAGACGGTCCGTTAAAATGTGTAATATTTTGAGTGTTTACTTCTTTTTTTCTCCCAAATGAGAACACTAAATGAGCATTGAGGTGCTAATAAGATACCAGATGGTTGTTGATGGTGGAAAATGGAAAGAAGCAGCTGGGAAAGTCATTAAGAAATAATGTGGTGACGCCCTACCCAAACCGAACCAACCTCAACCTTGTCGGAAACAAGATGAGATTTTCCAATAAAATATTAATAAAAATCTTGTCAGAGATCAGAATATTGATCTTGATTTAGCTGCACAATTAACGCAAATAAAGACTGGTCTAGGGAAACTATCACTTAGAGATTTGTTGACGAAGTAGTGGAGGCGGTGGACTTCAGGTTTTGCGTTTTTCAGATGGGTCACAGAAATAGATCAGGCGAAGTAGATTTGTGCGGGCTGGCTAGAGGACTGAAACGTTCAGCTCGCTGTCTTCTGAAAAGGGTCCCATTTTGACATCCTGCGGTTTCTAGCATACCATCAGTTAGTTTGCTTTCTGACTTCTAGTTGTTTGCTTTTTCCTCAGTCGCAGGAAGCGTTTGCTACCGTTTCCAACAAGAGAGTATATTGCAGTTTTAAAGAAACCATAATAACTCAGCTTTTTTTTTTTTTTTTTTTTTTTTTTTGGGGGGGGGGGGGAGGGGGGGGAGGAAGGGGAGAGGAAGGAAGGAAGAGAGAAGACGTCCTGTAAAATAAAATAAAACAAAATAAAAACACTTCATGCCTGTAAATCCAAACAGCGCGTCAGAAGAGTACCAGTGTAAACTTGACCGAATTCCTCTCTCTTTCATCTTATTTCCAAAGCAATAGATTCGCAAATTCGCGGCGCGGGCCGGATCGGGCCCCCCGATGCCCGTTTGGCCGTCCCAAACCGGCACCTTTCGCTCAGAGCAGGCATTGGCGGAGCGCACAGGGCCGCCCTGCCACGCTAAGCGAACAGGGCGATGCCAAGCTGACTTGAGAGAATAGGAAAAGGGATCGCTTCGCGGCTTAGAAACGTTAAGAAGGGGCTTTGCGGAGAGCAAGGGAGTGCAGGTGCGGGTGCACTCCCGCTCCCTGCCCGCCGCCAGTGCGGGACCGAGCGGGGCCGAGCAGAGCCGAGTTTTGGGCAGGCTTTGGGCAGGTTTTGGCAGGCTTAATGGGCAGGCTCGCAGCGCCCTCTGTGGGCTACGGGCGGCGCCGTCTCCTGGTCCGGCGCAGGGGCAGCCCGAGGTGCCGGCCCCGACCCGAGCTCAGCCGGGCTGGGGGTAGGCTGCCCGCCTTGATTACAGCCAGAAAACCCACAACGTCCTCCGCATGAGGGGCCTCCAGCTCTGGTCAGCCTCCGGACACTGAGGATTCCCACGCGTCGATGTTCGGCACTTTTACTCTTTGGGGAACCTCATCATCTCTAGAGCAGGATCTCCTGCAAAACTTCAGTATATTTTTTTCCTTAGTTGCTTGCCTTTTTTTTTTTTTTTTTTTTTTTTTTCCCCTCATAGCGCCAACGTATATCCTCATTTCCCTCCTGGGCCAGCTGACGGGGTTACGGCAGGGGGCGGATAAAGACCCGCGGGGCGACCGCTCGCCACCGCCTGTCCCCGGGGAACCCGCTGCCTCTACTGGGCGAAGCCCCCGGCTCCCTCCTTCCCCATGCTGGTGAGGGCACAACCGTGCCGTGCCGTGCATCCCCCGGGGCCGCAGGTGCGCGCTCGGACGGCGGGTACAGGCTCCCCTCCTTGTGCCCTCCCAAAGTTTCAGGACGGAAGCTTCCCCGTGGCACAGCGGGGAAGTGCTACCAGCAGCTGCAGAGTGAGCACTATTTAAGTCATTTCGGTTAGGCACGTTCTTGCCTGGGTGCACGCCGAAACGCCCAGCAATCCCACAGGACCATCCGCCTCAACCCGACTGCTACCTGCAGCAGAGAGACGGCTTCGTTCGCTCTCCCCCCCCCCACCCCAGCCACCGAGGAGGTTTCAGAGAAAGCGGCCGCTTCGCGCAGCCCACCGAAGGGGCACCGCTGCACGGGGGCTCCCGGCTAGCCGCGCTGCGGGGCCGGGGGCGCCCTGCGCCCCGCTACAGCCTGAGAGCCGAGTGAGGGCTCCATATTTCCTCGCTTTGCCTTGTCACGTGAGCGATGCTAGGAATGAGCCTTTACGTCACGTTGGCAGAGAAAATAATTTCTAGTTTTTCTGTCATATTTTCCATTTTCAGCGAGATCCACCCTGGCAGGCGTACACCAGCAAATACCACATGGTAGGGAGGGTAATAAAGGAACAGCTTAAGCTAAACGGTTCGCCTTAATTGGGAATGCGTTGGGCTGATAAGAGTAAATTGGAAAGTCCTCGTTTCCTACTTTTTTTTTTTTTTTCCTCGTTATGACGGGACTCGAACCTGATAAGTAAAGTCGATAGGAAAATTTGCTCTGAATTGGATGCGAGTTGCATGGAGTAATGCTTTTAGAACAACAACCAAGCGCCAAGATATATTTTCTCGCTATTTAAAAGGGCGGCAGAAAACATTTTACGTACATGTTTGCATAATCCTCTATCCCTCCCTTCCCCCCCTCCCCCCCCCCCCCCCCGTGAAACTTGGCTCGCTTTCTTGTTTCTGTTATTATTTACTTAGCATTAACAGAAGAATGGCAGAAATCTGTGAAGAAAGAACACCGAAAAGTTGATATAATCCCGAGTTCAGCAAATTCTGAAATTTGCAATTGCCAGAAAAAGTAAACGGGAGCTTTACGGGGATTTAGCTTTGTCACTGAGACGTAGTTATGAAACGTGCTCATTGGTATGCGTGCCTCATTTTTTATTCTTTTTTATTTTTAAAGGAAGTCTATTTTTAACTGGGGAAAAAAAAAAAAAGGCACGGAGAAAAGGAAAGAGAAAATTAGTAAGGGTGTATGTGCTTAAACAGGCTCGTCTTTAAGATTGTTATCACTCCAAGCTCCTGTCAGCCCTTTTGTTGCTTCGGTTGAGTTCTTGACGTGCTCACTCCGAAATTTGAGCAGCTCCGAAGCCGGGAAGCCGCTGCCGACAACTGCAAGACGCTCCTGCGGGGGCGCGCTCCCGAGCCCACGGGGTGCCGGCGGGAGTCCCGCGCCGTACCGGGGCCGTGCCGTGCCGTGTCTTCGGCTCGGGTCTCGCTAGATCGCCCGGTAACTTTCATTGTATTTTCTTCCCCCCCTATTCTTTTCATGGGCGCCGATCAATTATTCACAAGCACATTTATCTCCCCTACAATATGGAGAATTCATATTCATATCTCTGTTTTAGTGGCCTGACACTGATTAATGTAATATGCGCCGCGGCTCCGAGTGCTGCCCCTCTCTATGAATCATGCACTATAAAGTTTCAATCGTCCTTGCGGATGAGACTATTACAAAGAGTGCGACGCCGAGGGGGCGGGGGAAGCGGTGGCAGGGAGAAAATGGCTTTCCGTCGCTGCCGGCCGCCGGCCCGGTGCTAAACTGCCTCACTCACTCAAGGAACCCGGGGACCGGCGGGGGACAATGTGGGTCCTACACCGGTGCTGCCCGGAGGGGCTCCACCGCCCCCGGGGCCGCCCTGTCAGGTGGGCGCTGGGGGCCGGGAAGGGACAGGGGTAGGGGTAGGGCCTGGGGTGCGCTGGGCTGGTTCCCGGAGGCCGGGCCCCTGCTGCAGCTCGAAGGGGAAGGCGTTAAAGAGAGTCTCGAGTTCCAGTGTTGTTATATATATCTCTATATTTCGGTATTTTTATTTTTTCAATTCTCGAATGTCCTTAAAAGGCGAGGTGTAAAGAAGCTGGCGGAGGAGCGCTGGAGAGGCTGCAGGCACTCGAACAGCGCAGGGAAAGGGCTAGTGAGTGCTTTTTGGCCAAACGCAAGCTTCCAAAGGCCTTCCCCTGACCCCCACCACTGGCCTGCACTCAGGGACAGGGTCACCTCTCTGGTCCGGCAGCCGCCTCACTCTCAAATCCCACATTTTGCACCACCTGTCTCTCCACCACCCCATCTGGGAAACAGGCATTGGAGAGGAGACACTGGGCCCACTCACACCACCCAACTCTCCACTCTGGATAAAGCCATCATAGCCCAAAAGGGCCAGTGCAAGTCCATGTGGAACTGGAAGATGTTCAAGGCGGATGCAGGACACACCAGGCAGGACTCCCTGTCCCCACCAGGAAAGGCCATGGGGGCCCAGCAAGGAGGGACATGAGGCCTGATTCCAGTTTTTGAGCCACAAAGTTTTACGTTTCAGCAGTAAATTTTACCTGGGACTAAAAAATCAAGTAAAACAGTGGAACATGTAATAAA